TTAGGGACATGATTTAGCAGTGGGCTTAGTAAAGTTGGGTTAATGGTTTGACTCAATGGTATTTAAGGTCTTTTCCAACCTAAAAGATTCTATGATTAATGAAGTAACGTAGAATCTCTTGAAAATGGATGCATCATATGCTGGTATTAGAATACTTTTTTTCTTGGCTTTAAAGTATTTTAGCCAAGCAAAGAGCAGAACCCCAAATATTTGGACAGCTTTTCTGCAGAAGGAAAATAAGGTGTTTTGTTATTCAGTCTGGAGGTGAATAGATGTTAAGTTTTATGAAGAAATCATGAAAGAAAGAGATGCTCTGGAAGAAGAAAAAACAGAAAAGTAGGTTTACTTGTTGAATTGATAGGAAGGCTGAATAAAAATAAAGGTGATAATAGCTTTTAAAATATTACATATGTGTTGATTCTGGGAGAAAAGACCTGGGTCGATCCTCTGGGCCATCTGCTAGCAGGAAGGAATCTATGGATTTATTGCTGAGCCGGAATGGAGTGAGCCGTCTGAAGTTGGTTGGAGAATATGGGATCTGCACTCGGGCCCTTTGTGATGGTACCACAGTGTCTTCACTAGATAACCATGGTGAGAACTTCATGTAGATGCTTTGATCATCATCAGCTGAAAATACTGGGTTATCAATTCCTAAAAAAGTTCATCAGTGACAAATACAATTAATCAAAATAATTTCTTGGTAATACAGCAGGAAACTTTGTAAAAAGAGAATGGCTATAATAGGGGGAAAAAATGGGCCAATACACACCAGTATAGGTGTAAATAGGCCCAATATAGACCATTATACACACGTAGGTTGCTCTTTCCACTTTGATTACTGCTAGTCATTTTGGATTTCTATTGGAGAAAGAAATTGGATATTATATCCAATATGCAGTTTGGGATACAGAAATTAAAATTCATAAAAGAAGAAATCAGCCAGCAAATTTTAAGCAAAATAAAACCTAATATTAAAAAAAAGGACTACAGAAAATTCAAATCAAACCAAAAAAAAGAATTTTTTGCTGGTGAGAAAGTGCAAAAGCATAAACTGCACAACTCCATAAAGGAATGAGATGAGTGTGAGGGAGCTAAAGCAGACCATAGGGCAATCAAAAACTACAGAAGCCTTTTAATATAGTTATCAAGTTTGTAGTATTTAACAGAAAAAGAAATTAAAAAAAATTAATCTAGTTCTGCATATTGCCACCAACGTATTTCTTGATCAATTTCTGGATGTCTTCATACATTCTCAAACATAGTATTTGTCACAGAAGAGTGAAAAGGCTGTATCAGCATGTCTGCTGGAAGAGTACAGACTCAAGGATTTTTTTTCACTGTATGCAGCACATTACATAGGAAGCATACAGTAGCATGATGAAACTTCAAACACCAAAGTGCTAAAGAGAAGTAATAAATTTAAAAATGTTAGAAATTGTATAATATAATGTCTTTTATACATAGTGATACATTTTCAGTCTAATATTTTGGAGCCTTTCAGGGCTGGAGATCAAGTCCAAAGAATTCTCCAGGAATTATGCAAATCTGCCTTTTTCAGTGGCTTCCATGAGCCACTAAGGATCTGAGAAAGTTGTGAATTTAAGAGGAGAAATTCTGCCTGAATGAAGGAGCATGAAACTTATCACAACAACGTACTTGAAATATAAGTAGAAAACAGCTCCAAAGGACTGTTATTGAACGGCCTTGTAAGGTGGGACAACTCTCAAATAACATTTTCCTTTGCTAGAAGTAATTAGTGGATTTAGATCTGTTTTAGGTAGTCATGCTCATAAGTTCTATCAGTAGGAAATTTGATGGTCTCCATACCCCTGGATATACAAAATTTGTTAACTGTTTAATATCAATATTAAGCAAATGTATTTTCTAATAGAACACATCAAAACAAAACAAAAAATACAGGCTAAATCAGCAGCATTTCTAGTATTTTTTTTAACATTTAAGAAAAAAATCCTCTGTAGGTAATTAGTATTTTTACCGGTAGAAGTGTCTGTGAAATTTTGCTTCGTCACATTAGCCAGGAAATCAACTCCTTTGCCTAGATGCAAAGTTTCATAATCATTATTTTCTTCTGACTCAGAAAACTCCAAATCTGGGGGGAAAAAAAAAAAAGGTCAAATTTGATTAGATGTTTGTATCAGTTCTGATACAATTAATGCTCATGTGTTAACAAATGTCACCCCGTTACAATGACCAGTCACTGCATTTGCATCATTTGTCAGGGGCCAGCATTAGTATCCTGACTGATTTCAAACCTGGCGAGGTCATTGTTACTTCTAGTGCAGCAGAATCAGTTTTACAACAGCTGCTAAACATCTTGCTAAGGCTGTCTTCCAATTAAGCTTTTTAAGTAGAGGATGAAAACTATACACAGTGTTCTTTAACAAGATAGCATTGAATGACCCACTTAAAAGGATCTGGAAAGCTCTTGCCATGCAAAAAGGTGCTAGAATATTACACCAGCCTGTACTGTCCCTGTCAGTCGAAGAAATAAAATGCTCAATATTAGTCAAAGAACATACATAAAGAAAAATAACTGTATCAAGCTATTGAGAGAAGATTTATCCCTCCCTATTGTATGTCAGTTCTCTCTAAGATCAAGGGATTGCATCCATAAACAAAGGAAAACTCAAATAAGAGTTAGTTCAGTGGCTTTTAAACCATGTTTCAGTTTTTAAGTGACACATATTATTTTGTAATTACATAACAGACATATTAATGTCCATCATGTTTTGCTGACTGACATCAGTGTTAAAATTTGGCTAAAACGTAAGATTAAATATTTTGGGGCTTTACATGCAAAACCAACTTTTGCTATGGATACTCCCAAGGCCAGTCAGCTTCAGATTGCACTTCCAGAGGTGACCAGTGTGTTGGATTTGTGCATGAAGGGTGAATTAGTGCTGAAACTGGGCTCTGACTGTGTATTCCTTTCAAAGCTACGCTCAAAAATCAGTTCTAACATGCTGATTATCATCAGCTCTGATTCAGACCCTTCTAAACAAATGGACCTTAACTCAGATCAGAATATCATCTCAAGTACTGAACTTTATACAGTATGGTGTCCTAGCCGGACATATCCTGCTATGGTGAAAGAGGAAAATGCTAGCAAAAGTTGCTTTGTGCAGCTTATCCAGAAGGAAGCTGGAAGGTCACCTACATTGTAGTCACTGCATTGTTTGGTTTTAAAAAATAAAGAGTTATATTTTACATATGTGAGTATAAATGCCAGTCAAAATTTGGTCTGTCATCTATCTGCTTAGAAAAACAACTTTTAAATCATTGGGACATTGCATTTAAGTATAGAGCAAATCCCCACTCTGAGTTGTGAATTATGAGTAAAAAGTCTTTTTAATACCAGCTTCACTGTTTCATATCACACATTTTTTTCAGTGGTCCTTTACTGACAATGTAGCTGGTAAAATGCAGTTAATGAAACTAGCCTAAGAGTCATTTTACCTTTTTCCTTCAAAGTAAAATCTTGTGCTGGATTTTCTGACGTTATTTGTCCATTTGGTATTGCACTGCTGTTTCGCTGAAAGGAAACAGGAAAAGTTACCAAAATCATCATCATATATGGCAGTGACATCCTTGGAAATCATGAGTTCAAAAGGATAACCCTGAAACCTGTTGTAATCTTTGATTGAGACTCAATATTGATGTCATGAGTTTTCCACTTACACTTGTAGTAACTACAGGAAAAGAAAGGAACTTGGGCTCTGTATGCTGTAATTTTGTGGAATGCTCTATGCTACAGTGCTACCCTGCTACATCCACACTGCAGCTTTTCCTCCTGGTGTTGTAGCATGGCTCAAGGTCTGTTATTTTTCAATTGATCAAAAATCTCTCACCCAGAAGTGCCCCAAAGCATGTGAGAAGAGGCCCCTTGAGTTATTTCATAGTTTAATCTCTTCTTGCTTAGGCCCTTTAAGTTCATGGAGTTCTATAGGACAGAGATAACTGCAGGACATAGGAGGCTTTAGAGTCCTCTCTGCTCTCCCCACTCCTTAGTTTGTAGAATAGGTCCTTGTGAAAGTATTTTACCTTTTTTTGGCCCCGGTCACGCTTGTGGATTTTATTGAGTTTCTTGGGATGGTTTATTCCTAGTTTGGTACTCTTGAAAGATTCTAAGCGCTTCCTCATTGTCCTGTGGAAAATCTCCTTGTCTTGTTTCTCATCTTCACTGTGCATGATCTCATGTCGACTGTACAGGTGTTTGTGCTGTGGCCAGAAAGGGAAGACAATATTAATTCATTTAGAAATATATCTGGAAGCCCTGAATCAATGTATTCAATCATTGTCAGGCAAATGTGAACAACTCCGTAAAAAAAAGAATGAAGCAAAGACTAGTCTGAAGGTATTAATGAAAATCCTATTTTTCTTTCTTTCTTCACCATGGAACAAGTGTAAGTCCAGGAATTTAAAGTACATAACAGTGACTGTCATTCAAAGTGAGCTTCTCCCTGTAAGTGTCTGAATAACTGAGTTGTTACCCTCCATTTAATCTTGCTTCAGAACATATATTGGGCCCACTTCTGCATTCCATTGGCCCCAGTGAAATCAAAAGCACCAGTTCTGTTAGAGGCATGTTCATAAATGAGAAAAAATGTAGACAGGGAGCCTATCTTCCTCAAGGGTGCAGATTTTGCAGATGCATTCTTTCCTTTTGTGTTTTGCTCCCAAGTTTTGGTTCCTAATGTCTCCTAGTTTTAGATTGGAAACCGGCCCAATGTTAGCCTTCTGCCCTCACCTCCTGTCTGGGTTTATACAGGTACTGTTGTAGGGTGTGATGAGCTACTGTGTCTTCTGTGTCTCGGATACTTTTCCTCCTTTGCTCTAAAGCTTGCATGTCAAGGCAAACTGGTCCAGCTTTTTCTCTCCTGAAGAAGAACACAATATGCAAACAGCAGTTTTAAAAGTCAGTAGTTGCTGAAGAGGAAGAAAAAACAGGAAAATGGGGAATGAGAGGGAGAAATGGAGATGCAGTTTTTTTAAAAAAAAGGAAATGTCAAAATTGACTAAATTAAAAGGTCAGGAAATAAAGGGAAATCTAAAAAGATTTTTTCTTTCTTTTCTGTCTTTCAGGTGGGTGTAGCACTGATTTCTCAGTTTATATGACATACGGTCTCTTTGTAGAAAGATTCCTGAAAGAGTTAAGGAAGAAACAATTTCTTTTCCTTGCCTCTGTCCTGAGTTTTTCTGGAGCAGACACAGAAATGACATCTAGCCCTGTCTATAGCAGCTGGTGAACAAAAGGCAAGTGAAAAAAACTGATGTACGTGTCTGCTTAATCTTACCAGCTGTTACTGCAAAAATCTGTGTAAAGTGCAACAATATTAATAATAATAAAACAGATATATATACCTATTTTATGTGAAAGAAAAGATTAACTGAAGTTCAAAAATATATCAAATGGAGCTCCTGTAATTTGTATTTTTAAAAATTTATAACACTATTTCCATTTCTTCACATATAACAAAAATCCCCACCCACGCTCCCAATCAGTCTGCATTACTTACAGTAAATAAGAGACAGAGCTTTCCACAGTACTTGGGCGTGGGGTACTGAAATCCACATTTACCATGTTGTCTGTACTTGGAGAACGTATAAATGCCAAGGAACCTCTACGTTCTCCCTGGCCACAGAAAGAAACAAGACATATTACAGCTGTAAACACATAGAGTGAAATGTATATCAGAAAATGAATATAATTTGTAAAGTTACTCTATGCAGATGGCACAAGAAGCAGGGGACTTGTATTTAGGTAATGAATACAAACTATTTTTAGGTTTTATGGTTTCTTTACATTGAGTGACGTTATCCCAGTGAACAAAGCTAGGAGAGAAATTATTCCACTCTCCTGATTTTTTTCTGAGGAGGTGAGTAATTTCTTAGGCCTCAGTCTGTTTGCAAATTATATCCTTGCACTTTTGCAGTGTAACTCTTATCTTCACAGATGTTAGGAATGGGCTTTTACTTTATTCCACATGACAAACTGTGTGCATGGGGATACCTTTGCAGATTGTTGTGACTCAACACATCACTGCACCAACAGTAGCATTTTCAAAGATACAGCAATAAATTTTGTTAGTTGTCTACCAGACTGGAAGCAGCAATTTTTAGAATTCTAGTAAAAGGTGGTAGAAGTCTATGAGACTATCTGAAAGAGTTATGGTATTAAGAGATGAGATACTGAAGAGATGAGATTTGCTTTCAGTTCTAAAACCAGTGTAACATTGCTGGAAAAGCTCAGATCTATGTCTTCACAGCTTTCCCTA